CCTGTGTCTCTGAGTAATGCATAGCTTGCTGCTAGGAGAAAGCTGCCTTTGTCTAGTAGCACAGACAAAGGTAGTCTGGACTGGGGAATGAAGTGAAACTAACCGTCACAGTGCAGATCGAGGTCAGGCCGGGCATTTCACATCAACATGGAGCAAGGCTGGTAAGTTACGCAACAATGAACTGTGGTGTGCCAGTCCCCAGAGCAGGGATTTACAGGGAACCATTAGTGTTGACAGCTTCAGTCATAGCATTGGCTGGATGACTAGGACAGGGCGAGGGGGGCACTGTCCACTGTGTCTGGAAACCACAGGGATGCATTTAACCACTACAAGCATTAAAATTTGAGTTCTGCTTTATTCTACCCTGCTGCTACTAGAAAACTACAGATAACATTTATTGGGAATCCATCCTGAAAGTGAGACATTAGCAGTGTTCTGATGACAAAAACAGGACACAACTTCAAACTTCTGTACAAAGTCTTCACCAGGCTGACAGACAGCAGAAATGGATGAAAGCAGTTTATGTAGGCTCATCAGGAAGACGTCAGTGGCGTATTTATGTTTGGTTAATTGATTTTATTGATCTTCCCCAGCTCACTACAGAGGGTAAGTCAAAGTGAAACAAAAAATCTCAGCCATATCAGGAGCCTGATCATTCATGCAACACAAAAGAACTGTGGATTTGTGTGATTTAAACAGCTGTCTGTGTGGATGAGTATTTATTTGTCTAAACTCAGATTTCACCCCCTTGTCTAAAACTTGCCACACTGTGTGCACATATGTTCCGACCTGGAATTTCAAGCAGCGGTAAAAGTCCTGTTCGACAGCTTCCTGCAGGATGACCGTTCTCTCTGAGACCATGTCAAGGGCAACGGTCAGAGTGACAGGCTCTGTGGGGCCCTGGATCTGGGCACATAGGGTCTCCTGCTTACCTCCTTGCACACGTGAGTTCAATGTCACTGCAAAAATGCTGCAGGTAGACAAAGGGAATTGCATTAATTGGACAAGGACAGGATGTGCTACAGAAATGAACAAAACATTACAAAACAAGGCAAGTACAATATCCTGAGGCTGAGCAGGTGAAGTGAATTAGCCGTTACTAGAGTCACCCAAACTAAGTGAAGCTATGATGTGGTGGTGGTGAACGCTGGGCCTGTACCACGAAGCTGTAGATATAACTCCCCCAGTACTCATGTAAGGCTAAGGCTATAAGAAAGTGCACTGGCCTAACTGTTTTGTTGTTGTTGTTGTTTTTTTGCTTTTCTGTCCGATGATGAGTAACGTAATCAGAACATGTCCATAAAATTTTTTAAAGTAATACAAGTGTGTCTGTTGAGGAAACACTGAGGAAAGGAGCACGTTTTGATCTGATCCTATGAAGTTAACCAATGGGTGTTTTAGGAGAGTACATATAGACGGCGTCATCACGTCATCATTCAGTGTTGCTGCCACATTTTTCCCCAGTGGCCATTCGCGATATTGCAATGAAAACTAAAAACACTCAACTTAGGAAAACTGTTGAGAGGACAACCCTCAAATGAAAACAAGCTTGGTTTTTACTACATGATCAACTTTAAATCCATGGAGGTTATAGATTTGTAAAACCGTCCCAGAGCCTAGAAAAGTGGGATCACCCCAATGTAAAGTCTACAAGCTGAGCAGGAGCGTGTGAGTGGGGCCAGTGGGGAAAACACTAATGCGTGCAGTGTGCTACACAACATGAAAACAAACCTGCAGATTTTGGCTTGTGTGCCTAGCAACCAATTTTCATTCAAGTGACTGGGCACCATCTTTGCCTCAGGGATCCAGTTACTACATCCATGACTTATCCTGCTCTCAAATGGCTAAAAATTTGATCTTTTACTGGGGGTAAATGTACAAATAGGATAGTGGTGTAAAGCACAGTTTTATCCGCAGTTTTCGTAGCTAGGACAACGCTTCAATGAGGATGGAGAGCAGGATTTGAGAGAAAATGTGAGGTGCTGTATAACAGATGATGATGTAGACAAATGCTCAGGTGGTGATCAGTGGTTTGGGGAAGCTTCTACAGGGATCTGCACTGCACTCGGGCACAGCAGATGCCCCATGTGGAAGTGTGAACACAGGAGGAAGGAGTAGGAGAAGGAACAAAGAAGAAAAGGACAGAGAAAAACAAACAGAAGGGAGGCAGGGTTAGTTATTGTATGTAAAACAGAAGCGGTTAATGTTAAGATTGCAGAACTACTTAAAGGAAGTCAGCAGGGGTAAGGGAAAAGGATGTGGTTAGGTGTGGTCCTGATCCTAAATCTTCTGCAGCTTCATTTATTGAGTATTTCAATTTATACTTCTATTGCACTACATTTGTAAAATATCAGTTGCGTACCTAGTGCTTTTGCTACAATTTAAAACTGTAGTTTGATACGAATACTTATGTGGGAGTTTGAATGAAGGACTTTTACTTAAAAGGCCTGAGAACTTCTTCAGCAACTATAAAAGACACGTACAGATCAGTAGCTGAAATGTGGTGATAGAAAAAAAGTGTTTTCCATAGAAATTGCTTTGAAGGACATCCTCCGTCCATGCACATTATCGAGATTCAGCTAACAACTCCTCTGGATTTTCTCTGTTTGAGGCTGGCTGGCACACAGGGGCCCGCTGCTGCCAATGAGAAATAAAGGACACCTTTAATTGAGTTTTGGGTGCTGCTGCTGAGAATATTGATGGTGTTTTTGCCAGATAGAAAGTTGCACAATGATGAAAAGTCATCTGACTCTAATACCAAACTATGCAAGGCATTTAAGTTGACCCCAGTATAGATAACAGAGGACAGCAAAACAAAGACCAAAATGGAAATCAATATCCAGAGACAGTTTTTGTCTTTATCTTGATAACAAAACGAGGCAGTTGTTTGGTCCTTAGCTTAAAAACTGCATGATAAACAGAAACAGCTTGCCATTAAAATTAGGTTTGGTCATGACTTTGGATGATTCAATAGACTAACCAATTAAGCTCTTACATGTATCTCTCCTTGTTCCTGTCCAGATCATTTTAGCAGAAGAATATTAATCAAACAATGGAAAGCGGTAGCAGATAGAGACCACACACACACACTGAGACTAATTCTCTGCTGATTACATAACAGTATCCTGAGGTTAACTAATGGACTCCTTGGCTTAGCAGAGGGGCGATGCTTTATTTTGGTCCTTAAAAAAACAACTCTATAATACAACACGAATGAACAAATACACTGCATCTTTGTACACGGAGTGTGGCTTAAATCATGCACAGCTGCATCTGGTGTGACGCACAATCCAAACTTTTGCAGACAAGACGACAGCTTGATGACAAACTTACGTGCCACTACGGGCCGATGTCGCAGTTTGCAGGAACACAGAAGCGAGGATGGCAGCACATATTTGGATGACAGATGCCATGTCTGCAGACGAGACTCGGTGCTTCTCAGCGGACCAACACGGACGGACTGGACTGCACAGAGGGACAGGGATGCGCGTCCAGCAAGCCACACGCACCGGTGGCGGTGGTTTGCTGTTTATACCCCCAAACTACCGCCGCCCCCACCGCTTCAGTCAACCCTCCCAAAGTCCGTTGGACCTTTGCAGCCTCCTCCCTATTCCCAAAAGAATGACACTTTCTTCCGCGCTGCCAGGAGTCCACCCCTCCAGTTTCTAAACAACCGGAGAGAAGTGCAGTACATACCTCAGTTTGGGAGAGAGGGGATTTACAGAAGCCACGGTGTAAAGCAGGCCTGGTGATCATGCAGTTATATTGAGCAACAGTAGGCCTGACTGCAGCATGCAGCTCATGTACAGATACAGTGGGCATGGAAAAGACCCCCCCTTTAAAATAATCACATTTGCTTTGCAGCCTGAAATGAAGACAGACACAGTTTTGTTTTATCCAGCTGTATTTACTCAGTGCAACACATAACATCCAAGTGAAAGATATAATAACACCAACATGTCAGAAAAAACTCTGAAAATTCAAAAACAGAATCGGTGAGTTGGGAAAGGCATCACCCACTCCTGTCAGCACTTTGTTGAACCACCTTTTGCTTTAATTACAGCCTTTAGTCTATTGGAATATGTCTCTACTAACTTTGCACATCTAGACTTTGCAATATTTATGTATAACACTTAAATAGAAGATGTCAGTGTTGCATTAATGGTTTACGTTATCATAACTTTTACAGTCAAAGCTCCTTCTATGCACAGCATTTTTTAAAAATTGAATATCAAGAATTGCATGTGATAAATTGTGTTTATGTAGAACTTTAAAGCTACTCCACCTAATTCTTCCAGCCGCTAGAGGGTCTAGTGAGATTCAAAACAAAAGCCTCTTTTAGAAAAAGACTCTGCTGGTGTTAAGCTGGCCTTTCTTTATTGCAGCTTGGCTTTTTTACACTGAACTAAGAAAAAGCCGGTATAAAGGCCTCTGCGCCGTCAGTCTGTACATCTGAACATCCCATTCTTGTCAACGCGATATGTCAGGAACACCTTGAAGGAATTCTTTTATAAAATTTGGCACAAATACCCACTCGGACTCAAGGATGAACTTATTAGATATTGGTAGTCAAAAGTCTATGACCTCATGTCTGTTTATTCCTGTGAATGTGACTGGTTGGTAGAGGCATGTAGCTGTGAAGTGGTAATTCTGGTTACACAGGTACCAGCGTTCCAGTATTAGAGGTGTGACAATGAATGTAACATATAGCCTACCCATACATACAACACACATCACAAATACAAAGTATAGCAGTAATGCTGGTTTCAAATCAACAATGGCAGAGGAAGAGAGTAGGGATGGGGTTTTGTTCATCCTGCACATTTTTGATAACTCAGAGTTGTTGTGAACAGTGTTCATGGTCATGATTCTGTTTTTTGTCAACAATGTTATAAGTGAAATCCCCTGCCGGTGTGTTGCAGAAACCGCACTTCATCACAATGTCACACCCGTCTGCCTACAACCTCCCCAAGCTGCCTTTTACACAAAGGCTGAGACAAAACAGTTGTGCCAATTTTACTACTTCTCAAGGTGGAATAAGGGACAGTCAACACTGACCCCCACGCCCGGCTCAGTACCTTTTAAAGAGAACAGTGTGCCTTGATATTGGCAGTGTAAGGAGGAACTAAACTGGCACCATAAGCCACCTCTAACTGCTCTTTGGTCCTCCATCATGTTAGCTAAGGAGTAAACACTAATGTTACACAAAGCTCAAAGAACTCCCAAACTAAAGTCATAATTCAGTACCAAGGTAAACGCATGTTAAGTTGCTAATGTTACAAAATTCTGGACGTCACATTTTCTACACAGGAATGCACCAAACCCCCTTTGGCTGTGTAGCTTGCGTATAAAGAGCCCTTGGTCACTAACATGAGACCTAATATACATGTTGTTTCAGTTCTCATAAAACATTTGCAGTGCTGACTGTTTGATATTTTACTGGCTATAATTTAGTTAGTTTAGTTAAAATATTTTTAAAATTGGCTAACAAGTCAATCACTTTTGTTTGTTTACACAAAAACTCAGCTAGGCACCTTTCATATATGCCGAGCTGATTTCTTTGTTAGACTATATTCCCCATGTCTTTCAATCCTACACTTCCAGGTTGTAATTGGAGATTTTCATTAAAAACTTGCAGCTACCAAGCCCAAGCTCTCACACACAGCTACAGAGGACACACTGGGCTGAATGGTATTTCTCCTTAATGTGTAAAGTTGGAGGAGTGTCCCAGTGATATGGTTCAGTTAGAAGGTTGTTTGATAAGAAATGCTTCAAACAGCTCTGGGGAATCTGTCATCATCACAACTGGCTTCCTCCTCATTCTACCAGCATCAGGATCTTGTACGGTAGGCAGAGTGAAGTCCACCCTTTTGGCAACAACAAGATTCATCTACAGTAATTGCCAGGGGGAGGTGAGTAGTTTAAACACACAGCTGAAGGACACAGTGGCACATACACATAGTGTGTACCCAGGCAATTCAGATGAGGGCCTATGAGCCACAGGAAAGGGTAAACGTAAGGGGAATTTCACTCGAGATATTAAAAGTCTTCTCTCTGACATGTCACATTCCCTCTGCTTTTTCCTGGATGAGGACAGAAAGCATAATACAGATCAGTGGAGACTGATTTCCATAACAAAGATATAGGGTGGTCTGATTTTTTCAATTTGCAAAAACTTAAATTAGTTAAAGTATAGCAATTTTGAATAACAACACAAAGGGCAAGATTTTCATTCATTTCAGGTCTGTTGGAAAGCATCTGTCACCACTGGAGGTTTTCTGGGTCTTTTCTCCAGCTCTTCTTTTATCTTTTGTCTCCTCCTGCCTTTGATCTCTGCTGCTCAAAAAACCATCCTGCTATTGGGCTGAATGGAAGTGAAATGCTAAGAACGTATGGCGTTTCAGCCTGACTGTGTGCACCTTGAGTTTTGTCTGAGAGGTGTGGTCTTACATTAGATAGCTACAGACTGAAGTCACACCTATTCCTTATGACAAGCAAAGTCATGGGGTCTGGGTGCAAGGTAGTAGTTAAAAGTCAACATTACCACATTATACATTATGTCCTGTAGGGGAGATTTGATGGGACACAGTGGAGCAGAGAAAAGAAACAGGTGTTTAGCCTATATAGCCACAATTTAGAGAAATCAAACTGGTCAGGTATGAGCTAATTGTTGCTTCTACTGTAGCTTCACTGTTTTCCAAACACCACTGACAAGAGCTTATACTTAAATGGGTAATTGTTGGGATGAGCCTATCTAACACAATCATATTCTATTCTTTGATGCTTTTTCTTTACAGATGGCTGAAAATCCCCCAAAATGGAGATTCACAGTTTCTTCACACAGTGACAATAAAGCCTTTTTTTTCCTTCTGAGTATGTTTATTTTGTACATTTGAGTAAATGTTACCAATACAGTATTTGTATCACTGTAGTGTTATACTGGTAACTGAATATTGGTTTCACTTCAGTTGTGTTACTTTTCTTCAGGTGTTTCTTCCACCTTCCCTTGTACACTCCACATGGAGCACAGCTCCCAAGGTTATGCAGAGTTCAAGTTAGTAGAAGATGTTAGTTGGTTTTAGATTAAGATAGCATGGCAGTTCCTTAGATAAAAATCAATCTGTGTTTGACCACATCTTATTGATACTGTATGTTTCTATTTTTATTTGGCAAATTCATATCCTGTAGGATACTGAATGCAATTCACCCGACTCTCAAAAGAAAGTAAAATTATTTTATTTATTGTCCTAGACTTAGAAAATGAGTGAACAATGCAGGTCATTGCATTAAAATCAGGAACAATGACTTCATTTTAGAAAATATTGTAAATTGTAAACAAGATAAAATATTTTCACTGCATTACCACATTTTGGAAAAAAGATTTGATGAGGAGATTTCTGCAGTACTCCAACATTATACTTCTCAGAATGCCCTTTAACAGCCCTAAAAGCAAATGTGCAACATGACTTTCTGTCCTATTTTGGTATACAGGCATCCCACATATTCCACAGAGTTGTACAGAGGACTGCATTCAACAGTGTACAAAACATGCACAGGAACCTGCTCTGTTTTGCCTCCAGGAGCTGTTTACCACATAGAAACTATTTCGTTAGTGTGACTTTGCTAGATTCAGTCTCATGAATGAACTAAAATTCCAGCTGTATTCCAAATGTAATGGAATTGGCCTTTAAACAGGCACATTTTAAATGTTACAGAACATCAAAGCACATTTTAAGCAGGCAGTACTGTATACTGTACAGATTCATTGTTGGCACTGTGTGTAAGACCATTGAAAGCTACTGGAGCATACAGTATACAGCAAAATGAAGTACCTGTGCAACATCCCTAAACTGTTAAGTGATTAAATACTGTACCATCCTACAAAAAATGTATTATTTTAAAATTTTATTGTAGGATATTTGAACTTATACAGCATATAATTTAAACATATTGGTTACATACGCCACATTGATAATACAGCCCCAAAAGTGCCAAATGTAGCTATGATTTTCAAAAAAGGCTAATTGTATGAACACAGTTATAAATGAACTCATGGACATGGCAGCCTTTTCAGTTATGGCCTGGGATGTATGTATTGCAACATGACTCCATGTGGTACAGTAAGGAACTGCCTGAACAACAAATCAGAGTGTGAGACTTCATGAAGATGGGAGAGGGTACAAGAGCACTAATAGTCACTGAACATATGTTGAAACACATTTGCAGCAGTGGTTAGAAGAAATAGGGAGAGCCATACTAACAGTGACAGAAGCCACAGTAGTCATCCTCAAAAATGGCACCATGCACAGTTCTTTTTTTACACAACAATGCATTGAAAGCAGAACCACTGTAGGTGCTTCTGACTTGGCACAAGAATTATCTTTCAGATCAGATCATGTGAAGGACTTTTTAACATGCCAATGATCCCAAACACACTGCAAAAACAGAAGAAAAAGTGAAAACTATGTCCTAAGTATGTCCCCTGACTTGAATCATATAGGACACCTGTGGAGTATTTTAAAGCAGAGAGCAGAACACTAAACGTCTACAGCAGAGAGCAGCTAAAAAGAATCATCTGTGAATAATGGCAGTACATCTCTCCACAGATTTGTTCAAGACTGGCATGA